TTCTTGCAGCCTTCATCTGCAATAGCGGTTCCAATGCAATCAAATTAGTAGCCTATCAATGACTAATGAGGTTACTGGCAACTCCAGCAACTCTCCTCAGTTAAATCTTTACGTTGACACTTCGTCCCTCGGACGATCAACAATCAATACCAAATTGATTACGTTAATAACAAAGTAACATTTGTGTTAACTTAATAAATCTTACAACTGTCACTAGTAACTCAGAAATTACACAAACACTCTACCTGTCGAGCAATCAGTGAGTAATCCCCATTAATCCCTGTACTTCTAGTAATCTCTGCACTAGTTACGTTAATTTACGTTATCGATTACTATCACTCAACGATAGTGAACTTCAATTACAGTGTCCAAAGTGCTTAGAGAACGGTAATCACTCGTGATTACCCTAGAGCGATTAATTACTATCCCGAAGATCAATAATTAATCAATTAAATACGCAACCTTTCACACTGGCTCAGCAATTTTCATTAAAGTTATGAATTCCATCTAGCCTTCCATACCATACCAATTCAGGTGACTAATAACGCTCATTAATCACCATGTTTATGTTATTTCACAATGACAAGTACCTGTACTTCCAGACAGGTCAATAACGACAATACGTTAATGGAACAATGGAGCCTTCGTGTGAGTCGATCAACACGGATCAAAGTTAATTACTTTGACTTTCTGGAACATGTCACTTACCTGTCCACTGACCGAAAATTACGAGAGACAATACTTTAATTCTTGTCCGGCTTATGGCTAGGCTCCCCGAGACTATCGTAGCTGTTTTCAGGAAAATAATTAACTCAGACGCATTCTACGTTACTCAAATTGTAAAAGAACAAATTCTCTGTAAGCAATGGGTGGTCCCTTGGTTACGTTATATTAATTGCCTCGCAATCACCTCACTGAATACTGGACTTTGATGTCCACCAGAATAACAGGAGAATATAAAACCCAAGTACTCGTTTCAGCCAAATTCACCCACGACAATGAATAAATCACACTAACAAAACACAGTGATTTACGTTACAATCCGGTTGCAATGACAATACTGCAGAACCCCAGTAAAATAACACTCAGGACATGAACCCTCTGGAACACGGTCCCACAATGATTTACTGAACTGCAAAACACCCCCCGGTGATTGATCAACACTAGCAACAATCACCATCAATGACAACCCCTTTGCAATAACACACACGGCAATGTGCACTAAATCAAATATCTTAGTACACTGCCCAACACTTTATTGTCCTGTTGCAAATGACCACAGTGCTCTAATTACCACACAGAACACTGGTCCACACGTTGTACTCACCACAGTAAACAACACACTAATCACACTGGGCTTCATGACACAACGAATATATATATATTTAGTTACGGCTGACACATGTACCCTAAAGCTATCAAACGTTAATGGAACACTAAAGAGAACACAACTCCTTAATTAACTGGGTGAATGATTATCGACCCCACGGATCGATAATCACTCCTGAGAAATTTACGTTACTCGGCTGAGCGGACGGCTGTCACTTCCAGGACAGCCTCGTCACTCACCACAATTCTACCAAAATTACGTTAACACTTCAGCCACGTCACTATATATATATATATATATATATATATATATATATATATATATATATATATATATATATATATATATATATATATATATATATATATATATATATATATATATATATATATATATATATATATATATATATATATATATATATATATATATATATATATATATATATATATATATATATATATATATATATATGATAGGACAATATATATATATATATATATATATATATATATATATATATATATATATATATATATATATATATATATATATATATATATCAAATCACACTTGTCACAGCCCTGGGGAACACAACAAAATAGAAATAACCACACTCTGTTATCACTCCACAATAATCAATTGCCAGGAAATCCACGGTGTTACAAACTGACACTATTACCTGTGCACTTATGTCTACCAGTACTTGACTACAATGCTCTACATCTCACACTGTATACAGACAAAGAGTTGAAATCTCTTGAAACCTTGCAAAATGAAGCTATGCGTCTCATCCTTGGGGCTCCAATGTCCACGAGAATAGTTAATATGTGAGCAGTCAAAATTGCCTACCATAAGTGAAAGAATTTTGTCCATTCGCACAGTTTTCGGCGTGAAGGCATTGAGTAGATCTCGGCAACACATGAAGTTTCAAGAAAAACTTTCTAATATGCTGCACTCACCTGAGGTCTATAGAAGAATAGAAGAAGAAGCGAAATCTGATTATGCATTTTGGTTCTAAAAGGTAGCCAATTCCATCAAAGTCTTAAATATGTACCCAACCCAATTAATGATTAATCAACCAATTACTCAATTCTCAATTGCCCAAGAAAGATAGTGTGCACTCTACATTATTAAAACAGTTAACACTGAAAAGCATCACTGAGAGTACTCAGAGTATGGGTAACGATGTGTATCAGTGCTATACCGACGGCTCTGTAGAAGAAGGTGGACGATGTACCGGATGTGCATGTAATATATTTGAACAATCTTCTCTCGTACATACAGCAATGAAGCGCGTCAATGACTGGGCAAGTACAACTCAAACCGAACTTGCAGGCATATACCTTGCCACTGAATTTTTAAAAGACAAAGGCAGTGGACTTATATACTGTGACTCGCAGAGTGCACTCCTGGCACTGAATGCACATAGTAGTGATACCCAGAAAATAGTCAGTGATATTCGAATGAATGTTTTAGCTGCTAAAGAAAACAGATTTGCAGTTAAATTCCTATGGATACCATCACATGTTGGTATCTCAAGGCATAACACTGTTGATATGCTTGCAAAGGCAGCTTGTATGAAACCAGTAGTAGAAATTGATATGGGTGTTTCACTAGCAAGCAAAGAGAATGCTTAAACAAATATCTAATGAAGATCTCACCGACCTAACAAATACACAAAGACCTGAAAGTTGCCGTATTAAAAATATTATGATAGATATCGTGAGGAGACATTCACATATGGGACTAATAGTGCAAGAACTTGGCAATGCGATGTCATAGTTGCCAGAATACGCCTGGGATATAGACGTATCTGGCAGCTTTCTCAAAACCCAAATGTCGAGTACACAATGTGTCAACTTTGTGAAAGAGAAAACATGCACTCTCTTGAACATTATATTGTAGAATGTCCCATATTGACTGACTTTCGCCCTCCTGGGCTGAGGTATGCTGAACTCTGTAACTACTATATGAGTACTGGAACACTTGATGATATATTGGACTTGTATCCTAGATTAACCATGTAATGTAACTATATAACCTGAGCTTGTAAAAGCATCTTATTCACCTTCAGTGGTTAAGTTCTTAATTGCACACTAGTTTCTCTTGTCAGCTATCTCACCCTGTCAGAGTAAAAGAGACAAATATATGTGTATGTATGTATGTATGTATGTATGTATGTATGTATGTATGTATGTATGTATGTATGTATGTATGTATGTATGTATGTATGTATGTATGTATGAATGTATGTATGTGTGTATGTATGTATGTGTGTGTATGTATGTATGTGTGTGTGTGTGTATGTATGAGTATAAAGCTGATCAGAATTGCATTTCACCATTATAAATTCACATTAATGTATTCATAAATCTATGTATCTATGTATTTACGTATGTAGCTTAGCCTAACATATTAAAAGCACTACGATCACCTTCTGTGGTTGTTCAATAAATCTCTGAACTGTATGTCTGACAAATCTTTCACCCTGTCCACGGAGGACAGAAGAAAATGTATATATGCTAGTTAGCATTATAAATGTGTGGCCACGTCTGTGGTAGAAAATAATAATAATAATAATAAACAAAAAGTACTGGATTTCCACACCTGCAAGATTATACTGGTGGGTGAGTGGTGGCCCACGTTCGCACTACGCTCTCCCAGGCCTCCAGGGTTCCCACGCAAATTGTCTCTCTCCCAGCTATACAAATGAAAAGATGCTCTTCTCCCTAACTTTGTCCACAGACGTGCTTCTACGGCCATAGTAACATATCTGGAATGCTGATGACAGGGGCTCTCACATGAGCCCAAACACAAGATGTTTCGGGTAAGGGTTGCCAAACTAGGTCCCTGCACTTACTTGTGCACTTTGCAAGTGCACTGGCCTGAAAATCCAAGTGGAAGTGAGCTGGTGAAAACCCATTCCCTCACAGGAACAAAGGGTTACCATAAATGGACTGAAGTCCAAGTGGAAACCTTGGCAAGAGGAATGACCGAGGGATTCTTCCTATGACCTCTGTTATTTGACATATATCAAATTGATGGACACAGCATTGACCAGTAGCATTATCACATTTGCAGATAATGCATAAATAGGGCGAGAAATATATTACAAAAATACAAAAATGCTCCAAGGCGGTTTAGATTTTGTTTAAATGGATAAAGCCTGACAGATGCTGTTTAAAGCTGACATATGTAGAGTTCTGAGTCTAGGTGATGTTAATAATGATGTGTAACCGGATACAAGATTAACAAACGGATATTGCTAAATCTGAATACAACAAGATCTAGGAGTAATTATTAGTAGGGATCTTTATCAAATATAAAATGTTAATTTGTGTATTTACCTTATTTTTGTTAGGACTCATTGAGATTATGCAGTTCTGGTTCTGGCATCATACTATGATGATAATAATAATAATAATGAATAATAATTTAAAGATATAGAAAGGATCAGATTACTTAGACGGTACTATATCTATATATTTTACAGTTCCACAAAGTGACAGAGAATGATCACAAAGTTAATCCTTGTAATTAGAAGGTACTCATATGAAGACATTAAACAGCATAATTTACCTTCCGTAGAAAGGCGAAGAGTTAAGAGTTAGGGGCGAGGTGATTGACTAGACGGAAGTGTTGCCTTGAGCTTGTGTTGTGGTCGCAGGTACATGTCCTACAAATTTCGAGCCTGTGGGGGAGGGCTGCTACTACTTCTCTGAGATGAAGAGGACATGGGCCGAGGCGCGAGACTACTGCCAGACCCTCCTGCCGGACCAGGACGCCGACTTGGCCGTCCTGGACAACTACTGCGACGACTACATGCATTTAATCACATACATCACCAGCAACGGTAGTGTTACTGCTTTGGTATTTGTGTGTACTTAGCCACTTGTGTTTGCTACATTAGTTTGTGTGTTTGCTTTGAATGGACGAGTTTTAGCTCCAGGGCATCGCCTTATTAGCTCTCGGTCGGTTGTCAGTTGCATCGACTCAAGTCCTCTTATTTCTCATATTTACTTGTGATTCTATGTGTACAGGTTGTCTCGACCTTTCTACTTTCTACCTCATTCCACATGTTAACTGTTCTCATGATGCATTCTTGGTTCACTGTGTGTTATCTAAGCGTTTATACTCCATTTATGCTCACTTATTCTGGCAATACTTATATTACTATATAAATATGCCTAACACGCATTGAGTTTCAGTGGCTTTACCAGAATGTAACAACACCAATGTTATGTAATCTCACAACCCAGTGTACCTTCTTGTATATAAATAAATAAATAAATATGTTTGGTTCAACCCATTCTCCTGTTTAGATTGTACTTATCGTACCTTTGTGGACCATTGTACATCTACAATGGACAATTACATAGTAGAATTTGTTGCTATTCACGTTACAGAGTCCAGAAAAATTCAGCTAAAAAACAGACTTAATTTAAACATTCCTAGACCTAGCATAGCACACTTACACTATATTAGGCCTCAGATAGCGTGTATTAGGCCTAGGATGGTTAGGCTAGGTTTTATAATCATCAATTCAAAACTTTTTCAGATTGTCCAAATTCTATATCATCAAACTCTACTTTGAAGTTGTCCATTACGTCAATATATGTAGGATGGTCCACATCGTTACTATAAGTGCTATACACACAGGTAGGATGGGCGGGTGTATTTGTGTCTGCTCCGTCTGTTTGTATCTTCTATTTGTTGGTCTGATACTACTATATATGTATTTTATATTTTTTTGAAGTGGATCCAGTGTTTTGATAATTACAGAAGTCAGTGGAACTCTCCGATCATTTAACGAGTCTTCCCTATATCCTATTTTTATACCGGATGATTATATATATATATATATATATATATATATATATATATATATATATATATATATATATATATATATATATATATATATATATATATATATATATATATATATATATATATATATATATATAGTAGATTTTGGTAGCAGTCTTTCCTGTAGACATATATTATTAAATATGACCGAAAAAGTAAGATTAATAATTCTAACACGAATTTTCTCTATCTTTCTTACGTTTCTTTTCACTGTTGATGGTAATTCAAAGATCAATTCTCCAAAATTCATTTTTATTTCTAGTCTGACGCGACACTTGAGCGCTTTTCGTAAAACTTATTACATTTTCAAAGACTTTAGTTTACAAACACACAACTGAAACTGAATAGAGCTTACACATCTTCGAGGTTTATATCTACATTTGGGTGAGGTGGATGAGGTGAAAAACGAACTTTCAACAATGGGTATTCAATGGGTATTAAATTCCAACACAAGACAGAACACGAAACAATGGGTATTGAATGGGTATTAAATTCAAACACAAGACAGAACACGAAACAATGGGTATTGAATGGAAGTAATTGTAGAAAGCCTATTGGTCCATATTTCTTGATGCTTCTATATTGGAGCAGAGTCTTGAAGTGGGTGGAATATAGTTGTGCATTAATTGGCTGTTGATTGCTGGTGTTGACTTCTTGATGTGTAGTGCCTCGCAGACGTCAAGCCGCCTGCTATCGCTGTATCTATCGATGATTTCTGTGTTGTTTGCTAAGATTTCTCTGGTGATGGTTTGTTTGTGGGAAGAGATTATATGTTCCTTAATGGAGCCCTGTTGCTTATGCATCGTTAAACGCCTGGAAAGAGATGTTGTTGTCTTGCCTATATACTTTTTTTTTTAGGCTTACAGTCCCCAAGAGGGCATTTGAAGGCATAGACGACGTTGGTCTCTTTTAAAGCGTTCTGCTTTGTGTCTGGAGAGTTTCTCATGAGTAGGCTGGCCGTTTTTCTGGTTTTATAGTAAATCGTCAGTTGTATCTTCTGATTTTTGTCTGCAGGGATAACGTTTCTACTGACAATATCTTTCAGGACCCTTTCCTCCGTTTTATGGGCTGTGGAAAAGAAGTTCCTGTAAAATAGTCTAATAGGGGGTATAGGTGTTGTGTTAGTTGTCTCTTCAGAGGTTGCATGGCGTTTCACTTTCCTTCTTATGATGTCTTCGACGAAACCATTGGAGAACCCGTTGTTGACTAGGACCTGCCTTACCCTACAGAGTTCCTCGTCGACTTGCTTCCATTCTGAGCTGTGGCTGAGGGCACGGTCGACATAAGCGTTAACAACACTCCTCTTGTACCTGTCCGGGCAGTCACTGTTGGCATTCAGGCACATTCCTATGTTCGTTTCCTTAGTGTAGACTGCAGTGTGGAAAACTCCGCTCCTTTCCATGACTGTTACATCAAATTGATCGAAACTGTGAACGCCAAGAAATCTGGACTCCACCTGCCAAAGATTATTGGGGAATATAAACCTGGATATGCGTATGGAAATGTCAAGACACACAAGCCTGGAAACCCACTTCGGCCAATCATCAGCCAGATACCCACACCCACATACAGACTGGCGAAACGACTCAACGGCTTGCTGACCCCTTATGTCCCTTGCGCCTTCAGCCTGAAGTCTCCAAAGGAATTTGTTGACTTGCTGCGGGGAACGCGGGCCACACGGATAAGAGCCTCGTTGGACGTAGAATCTCTGTTTACCAACGATCCTGTGGATGAGACAATCGGGATGATAGCCGACAGAGTGTACCGTGATCCGGCCTGTACTCCTCTTGACATACCAGAAAACAGTCAAAGGAAACTACTCCAAGCTTGTACTAAAGAGGCACCCTTCTTGAGCCCGGATGGACACATGTATAAGCAAGTAGATGGGGTCGCCATGGGTTCTCCCCTAGGTGTCCTGTTTGCAAACTTCTACATGGGTACCATCGAGCAAAAAGTCTTAGTCGACATGAACTTGAAACCGGCCATATACTGCAGGTATGTTGACGACATTTTTACACAGGTACCTGATGTCAGACATCTGCAGGAGCTGAAGGAGGCGTTTGAGCAGAATTCTGTGTTGCGTTTCACTTACGAGATGGAGAAGGATGGGAAGCTGCCCTTTCTAGATGTAACAGTCATGGAAAGGAGTGGAGTTTTCCACACTGCAGTCTACACTAAGGAAACGAACATAGAAATGTGCCTGAATGCCAACAGTGACTGCCCGGACAGATACAAGAGGAGTGTTGTTAACGCGTATGTCGACCGTGCCCTCAGCCACAGCTCAGAATGGAAGCAAGTCGACGAGGAACTCTGTAGGGTAAGGCAGGTCCTAGTCAACAACGGCTTCTCCAATGGTTTCGTGGAAGACATCATAAGAAGGAAAGTGAAACGCCATGCAACCTCTGAAGAGACAACTAACACAACACCTATACCCCCTATTAGACTATTTTACAGGAACTTCTTTTCCACAGCCCATAAAACGGAGGAAAGGGTCCTGAAAGATATTGTCAGTAGAAACGTTATCCCTACAGACAAAAATCAGAAGATACAACTGACGATTTACTATAAAACCAGAAAAACGGCCAGCCTACTCATGAGAAACTCTCCAGACACAAAGCAGAACGCTTTAAAAGAGACCAACGTCGTCTATGCCTTCAAATGCCCTCTTGGGGACTGTAAGCCTAAAAAAAACAGTATATAGGCAAGACAACAACATCTCTTTCCAGGCGTTTAACGATGCATAAGCAACAGGGCTCCATTAAGGAACATATAATCTCTTCCCACAAACAAACCATCACCAGAGAAATCTTAGCAAACAACACAGAAATCATCGATAGATACAGCGATAGCAGGCGGCTTGACGTCTGCGAGGCACTACACATCAAGAAGTCAACACCAGCAATCAACAGCCAATTAATGCACAACTATATTCTACCCACTTCAAGACTCCGCTCCAATATATATATATATATATATATATATATATATATATATATATATATATATATATATATATATATATATATATATATATATATATATATATATATATATATATATATATATATATATATATATATATATATATATATATATATATATATATATATATATATATATATATATATATATATATATATATATATGTCGTACCTAATAGCCAGAACGCACTTCTCAGCCTACTATTCAAGGCCCGATTTGCCTAATAAGCCAAGTTTTCATGAATTAATGTTTTTTCGTCTACCTAACCAACCTAACCTAACCTAACCTAGCTTTTTTTGGCTACCTAACCTAACCTTACCTATAAATATAGGTTAGGTTAGGTTAGGTAGGGTTGGTTAGGTTCGGTCATATATCTATGTTAATTTTAACTCCAATAAAAAAAATTGACCTCATACATAGAGAAAAGGGTTGCTTTATCATTTCATAAGAAAAAAATTATAGTAAATATATTAATTCAGGAAAACTTGGCTTATTAGGCAAATCGGGCCTTGAATAGTAGGCTGAGAAGTGAGTTCTGGCTACTAGGTACGACATATATATATATATATATATATATATATATATATATATATGTGTGAACAAGCCTGAATGGTCCCCAGGACTATATGCGACTGAAAACTCACACCCCAGAAGTGACTCGAACCCATACTCCTACTCCCAGGAGCAACGCAACTGGTAACTGCAGGACGCCTTAATCCGCTTGACCATCACGACCGGACATAAGGAAGTGATAGCCGAAGCTATTTGAACCACTTCCCCGCCGGCACTCGGATGGTAATCTTGGGCATAGCATTTTATCAAATCACCTCATTCTTTGGGGGCACACGTGAGGAACACAAATGTGAACAAGCCAAAATGGTCCCCAGGATAATGGATATGGATAAAATGCTATGCCCAAGATTACCATCCGAGTGCCGGCGGGGAAGTGGTTCAAATAGCTTTGGCTATCACTTCCTTATATCCGGTTGTGATGGTCAAGCGGATTAAGGCGTCCTGTAGTTACCAGTTGCATTGCTCCTATGAGTATGGGTTCGAGTCACTTCTGGGGTGTGAGTTTTCAGTTGCATATAGTCCTGGGGACCATTCAGGCCTGTTCACATCTGTGTTTCTCATGTGTACCCCAAAGAATGAGGTGATTTGATAAAGTGTTATGCCCAAGATTACCATCTGAGTGCCGGCGGGGAAGTGGTTCAAATAGCTTCGGCTATCACTTCCTTATGTCTGGTCGTGATGGTCAAACGGATTAAGGCGTCCTGTAGTTACCAGTTGCGTTGCTCCTGGGAGAATGGGTTCGAGTCACTTCTGGGGTGTGAGTTGTCAGTCATACATTTATATATATATATATATATATATATATATATATATATATATATATATATATATATATATATATATATATATATATATATATATATATATACAGTATATATATATATATATATATATATATATATATATATACAGTATATATACATATATATATATATATATATATATATATATATATATATATATATATATATACAGTATATATACATATATATATATATATACAGCATATATACATATATATATATACAGCATATATACATATATATATATATATATATATATATATATATATATATATATATATATATATATATATATATATATATATATATATATATATATACAATTTACTATATTACGTATGTGTTGTTAATGAATTTAATTGTATACAGACTCCAGACCAATAAATACTTCAAGCTAGAGCTTCCACTCTCATCAGCCTTGCCTCTCTCTCTCTCAGGTGTGATCAACAGCTACTGGCTAGGCGCTACTGACCAGAATCACGAAAGTTATTACACCTGGGTGGACGGACGAATTATGAACCTGTTGGCCCCGTACTGGGCTCCCGCCGAGCCGCAGTCCAGCACAGTTAACAACTGTATCCTCATGCATGATGTCACGGAATTCATCACTAGGTTCCGTCTCATAGATATTAACTGCATTAATGAATATTTGTTCATTTGCCAATTGGGTGTCCACACTCTTAAACTGACCTGAAGGTTCCGACAACTGAGTGCACGCACGCACGCACGAACACAGACGCATGCACACAAGCATACACACACATTGTGTGTGTGCGTGCATGTGTAGTATATTTAGAAAAAATATATGTAGTAGATATAAGAGAGGAAAAAATAGATTGGTTAGAAAGTTGGGGTCCAAGAGCAAAAAGCTCGACTCTGCAGACACAAATAGTAAATACACAAACCTGCTAGAGTTCTGTGATAAAGTAACAAGATTAAAATTAATGCAGGACAGTGAAGAATGGGCAGACTGCATATTTCTGGACTGCCAAAAAGCTTTTGATCCCACAGGAGACTGCTATTCAAACTTGAGAGGCAGGCGGGAGTAAGGGATAAAAGCCCAAGCTTGGGTAAAGAATTACTTAAGAGGCAGGAGCCAGAGTGTTACAGTCAAGGGTGAGAAGTTGGACTGGCGAACAGTAACGAGTGGAGTACCTCAAGGATCAGTGCTGGGACCAGTTCTATTTTTAATATATTTAAACAACATGTCTACAGGAGTCGAGTCTTATATGTCAATGTTCGCGGATGACGCGAAATTAATGAGACGAAATGTGATAGATGAGGGTTGGAGGATTGAACTTGAACAAGCTTCAGTAATGGTCAGAGAAATGGCTACTGGAGATCAATGCAAGCAAGTGTAAAGTTATGGAAATGGGATTAGGTGACAAAAGACCAAAGGGACAGTACACAGTGAAGGGAAACTACCTTCCTGTGACGATTGTAGAAAGAGACCTGGGAGTAGACGTAACACCAAATCTAACTCATGAGGCATTTGTAAAAGCAGCGTATTCTATGCTAGTAAAAGTTAGAACGTCATTCACAAACCCATGTAAGGTGGAATTTAGGGGGCTCTACACTGACTACGTGAGACCAGTCTTAGAGTATGCCGCCCCCACCTGAAGAAACACATAAGGAGACTGGAAAAGTTTCAGAAATATGCGACGAGGCTTGTCCCAGTGTTATGACGGATGGGGGTATGAAGAGAGATTGAAGGAACTGAACCGGACAACGTTAGAAAAAAGGAGGGAGCGGGGAGATATGATAGAAAAAAGAATATAATTAGGAATTGACAGAGAAAAATAGACGAAATGTTCACACTGAATACCAACAGAACAAAGGTACATGGTTGGAAGCTGGAAACTCAGATGAGTCATAGAGATGTGAGGAAGCTTTCGTGTAGCATGAGAGTAGTGGAAAAATAGAATGAACTAATGGAGCAGGATGTGGAAGGGAAGCAAGCCCTATTTATAATTTTAAAACAAGAAATGGCACGAAATAGGATAGGAGTCATTGTTTTTAACAACCGGAGTCTAGAAAGGTGGGATCCAAGATTTAATCCTCGATCCTGCAAGCACAAATAGGTGAGTACACGTAGATCTAACACCAGGAGCACACATCAGCAAAACACCGAGGGCAGCATTCGCCATACTAGTAGACGTCCAGTTATCCTTCAGCAACTTGGACAAAGATCCCTTCCGAGCGCTGTATACACCCTTTGTGAGGCTATTATTGAGTAAGCTGCCTCAGCACGGAACCCCCTACCCTAAAAATACAACACTAGAAAAAGGTTACAAAATATACCAACCTGTCCTCGACTCACGTCCATTACATCCAGTGGTCAACCCCCAAAGATGCATTCATAAGTTTTAACATGCTGTTCATTCAAAACGGGATTTTCTAAAAAAAAATAAATTTATATAAAATATTAGCATATTGTGCAAATATAGGCATAGGTTAGGTTAGGCTAGGTGTTTAGGTTCTGTTGGCGATTATTTGTATTTGTAGTACGTGGGTGAAGCATTTACAGCGTTGTGGTACGAACAAAATTCGTCAGTGAAGCGCTTGTTCTGGAAGAGTTCAAACAAAATCAATTGAGAGTCGTATGTAATGTGTTTTTCATTCATAAACAGGGGGGGGGGGGGGTTGGCGGGTGCATAGAATCACTTTTTGGTCTTTGTTTGGAGGACGGGCTGAATATGCAACAAGGCTCGTTCCTGAGCTAAGAGAACAGAGCTATGAAGCAAGATTGAAGGAACTGGACCTTGTTCACTGGAGGTAAGAAGGAATTCAATAGAAGTGATAACGACATAAAAGATAATAAGGGCAATTGACAAATATAGAAACAATGTTAAAATTAGAGAACGGTAGAATAAGCAACCCGTCCTCTTTAAAAATAACGTCACTTTTGGCTCGTATGTGCGCTATGGCCAAATTTGGACGTAATTTAAAATGAAATCGAGTCACAAAAGTGACGTTCTGTTCCGTTTTCTATTGGAGTCGTCCGGCGTACGCGCAGAGGTTATAAGAGGACACTTTAAGTTCACGTTTTCCATAACGTTTTGAAACTTTATGAGAATTTCCTTCCCACCTAACCTATCAGAGGACCCTTAACTTACTGTTGTTGAAAAGAAAAAAGTCCCAAATTTATTTTCATTTTTTTCATTTTCAAATTACGTCCAAATTCAGCCATACGGGCAAACGGCCAAAAGCGACGTTCTTTTTAAGAGGACAGGTTGAGTTAGGACATTATTGGAAACAGGAAATACAGATGAGTCACAGGGATGTCAGAAATAATTTCTCCAATCTCAAAGTGGTAAATAAGTGGAACGAACTAGATGAGGAAGTTTTCGAAGTAATTCGATAAATAGCTTTAAGTATAATAAAAGAAAAAGGTAACAGCATTGATCTAATGATGGTCGAAAGGTTCGCCCCTCCAAGCACAACTAAGGAGTACACAAACAAAAAACCCCCAGACTAGTAGACAAAAGGGTAGCACTAAGTCCAGCTACGTGTATTATAGTGTTAGGTGGTACAGCTTTATGAAGTCTTGCTTGCTGCTTGTATTTATCCAGAAAAACGTCTGTGTGAAACGTTTTTAAAGATTCTGATATGTTATACAATATTTCAATAATGTAAATTAACATGACATAAGTTCTTTAAGGTCATCTAATAAAACACATCAACCAATATTTATTTGCCGTGTTTCTTACTTATCTTTAACGTCAGTTTTTGGTGGAAAATAAAAACAAGAAATCTACTCTCTCTCCGTACCAGCTTCGCCTGTGTGGAGTTTACCCAGGCCCGGCCTTTCAACTAATACTTCATATTATCTACGTTATAACCCTCAACGTTCAAATTACAAAGTACTATGACAAATAGCATCTCACAAATGTCGTCGTTTTCCAAGTCGGTAGACTAGGTGAAGTGGGTTGTTTGTGGTCATAAGTGTCAGGTTATGGAAAGATTTTGTGTAGTAGGTTGTGGCGGATCACGAGAACAGCCGCACGTCGACGGCTGAGAACACAACCAATAATTTCACCTGGTGAGAGCAGGAGTTAATAGAATATAGGTCGACCTCACGGTACTTTAGGCACCAGTAAGGCGAGGATGGCCGAGGTCATTGTTATAAACTTCCGTCACTACGGCTCAAGAATGGCACAATATCCCACTGATTCCTGTTATCTATCTAGGTCAGCAAAGCTCGTGTATCTGGCAGCACTGGAAACGTATCTAGGAGGACAGTACCGTGCATGTATTTGATACACCAGAATGCTCCTATGTAGACCCAATTAAAATATAAAAATGGATAAGCAAAACACATGTACATATACAATATATATATATATATATATATATATATATATATATATATATATATATATATATATATATATATATATATATATATATGTATGTATATATATGTATGTATATATATATATATATATATATATATATATATATATATATATATATATATATATATATATAATATATATATATAAATTCCTCTTAATATAGTATAGTATAATATAATCACTGCAAATTAATTCTACTTTAAAGGATGGCTCACACAATGTATGTCTCCTCAGATAAATATCACCTACACTAGAACAGGAAAACAATTACGAGGCTTAACTTTAAGTAGTTATGTTACCAGTTACCAGTGATATGTTACCAGTTACCAGTGATATGTTACCAGTTACCAGTGATATGTTACCAGTTACCAGTGATATGTTACCAGTTCAAACCCCAGACAGTTACTGAAACTCCTCTGGCTTAACTCAATCGCTCCCTGGCAACTCCTCCAGTTACCACAAAGCAGATAAACTCTCCAAATATACACATTACAAAAGAAAGAAACCACTTTTAAACAGACACAATCATACTAATATAATGTTTTATACATTCTAATAATATAACTAAAAGTATAAACATTCTTAATTGGCTTAAATAATAGATTTACTTCTAAAAGGTGGTGACATCTGGCAAGACAACACCCGATCAATTATCTTCCTGTCCATTCACAGGTATTAGACCTGAACATACCCTGTTCACTTAACAGGCCAGCCATGACACCCTCATACATTATACAGTATGCATACAAACATCAACATACTATACTATCAAACATTCTAATATATCACTCAGTACATTATTTATATAATTCATACTGTAGGTATATACAGTATTATTTATCCTGTGAGAATCGATACTCTGATATGGATTTGTAACATACCAACACTTCCAAGAGAAGAATGCAATTAATTGAAGATTAATGGCATTTTTTCTGAAAGTTCTCATGCATGTAAACACAACAGGGAATACCTTTTGGCAAAAATGAAAACATAAGTATCTTTTATTTCTCCAACAATCAAAGTTGAACTAACTATGTCTCACATGAACATTAAAAAGTTCAGTCCTGCGATCATGTCCTACATCACTGTCTGTATACATCAGGAATTTCACACCTGTTCCTCTGGAGTATGAAAATTTATATCAAGGGCACTACCTCATTCGGTTATTTACATATAAGAGGAAATACTTCCCTTTCCTATCAAAATTGTTATCATGATGCACATGGGTAGTAATGTCAGTTAATGCATCCACACTAACAAGGTCTATGCTAGGAGTTTTCATCTGGTTCCATTGTTAAATTTACATTAGTCCCATGCTTCCATAGTAACCAATTTCTACATGGTAAATATTTCCTATGACTGTTCCACTGGTTATTTTTCCTTGTTTCTGGAGTTGAACCACTTAGATGAAACTAACTGGATGCAAGGTGGTTTAGTGACCTCTCCTTGGATAATGAGGTTGATCTGGGCATGTCCCGGCAAGGACATCTGTTTCCCATCACACTGGCTCTTTTGTGGAACATACATCCTTGACCAATTTGTACTAATAGTAGAAGAAACCGGGTTAAACCACACAAATACATATGAAACCTCTTCACTCGTAGAACCCTCAAAAACACAACACAACTCAGAAGACCTTTGATATCCAGCCCAACAGACACAAACCACAAGGACAAGTGCAAGAACTACCTGACTGAACTGACTCAGATGACCATCAGTGAACACATAAGTCAGTTGCTTCATAACTCTGTCAGAATGATCAGTGAACGAAAACAGGATTATTCCTATGCACAATATCTAAATCACAACTTCAAGAACAAGCTCACACTCTCTAATGGTGAACTTTAGTACAAAACACACCTTCATAACCATCCTGGTCTCCCAAGAAAATAACAGAACTTCTCTGAAACCTTTACAACACTTACTATGGACTTCACTCAGTAAGTGACTTCCTTCTAGTGACATCAAACAATAGTGTTAAGGGTCTTATCACCTTGAAGATGAAAAGCAGCTTACCTGGGAACCACCCAAGGACAACCTGTAACCCTTCACACTCATTAAAACAAATAGGTGGGATAACCTTGTCCCACTCCAACTTGAACCACACTCCTGGGACTTTGAACATCTGCTCCAAAGTCTGACAAAATCCTCCAACACCATTTTGACTCTGAAAATCAAAACAACACTTGAGCTGAACATACATTTTGTTCACTTGTCTTGCAACAAAATAAATTAATCTAAAGATAGAGACACTGCTCTAGAATTACAGACAACTTTCTCAGGACAACTAGATGTACAACTTATTGGAGTAAACTCTCTCTGCTCAACAACAAGGCTGGGACAAAGATGTCCCACAGTCCATTAATACAAGGGAGAATGACTGCGGAATAACATTAGATTGCAAGAACATCCTAAGAACACTCTGACTCGATTTACCCAATGATAAACACTTACTCCCCATGGAATAAGAATAACTGGCCACAACACTCTGCAACTTAGGCCTAGAAGAAATTATAACATTATTCATAATCACACAAGTTTTACCAAATTTCCCTCCCATGACATAATCTGGAGATGCTTGGAGTACTGTCTGTTTACAATCGATAACTGCCAAGCTGGGTCACATCCTTACAGACAACTGAAGAGGGAGGCTCAATGGGTCTCCACCTACTCGTCAGGAGCTGATCCTCTGGCTGATCTCCCACACTCTCCAACAATGGATCTCCAATACAGTCTCCTTGCTACCCTCTGATATCACGGAGTCAGTTCTACTCAACTTACACAAATTTAAGGACTCAAAATCTGAAGCGAGCGGGCAAGTATCAGGTACTTTAGAATCCTCCCCTTCACCAACCTCTAGGCTAAGGTGTGGCGGGGCCTCTACGTACTCACCTAGTTGTGCTTGCGGGGGTTAGAGCTCTTGGCTCTTTGGTCCCGCCTCTCAACTGTCAATCAACTGGTGTACAGATTCCTGAGCCTACTGGGCTCTATCATATCTACATTTGAAACTGTGTATGGAGTCAGCCTCCACCACATCACTTCCTAGTACATTCTTCTCTTGCAATGACTACA